TCCAATACTCTCAAACATTCAATCTATTAGTATTCCTTACAATCAACTTAAACTCATTAAAAACTTACTACAAATTGACCTTAATAAAATTCTCTTACTAATTCATATTAACAATCATATCTCTTCTCAATCCTTACTTCTTTTTTATCTTTTAGTAAACTTAACTTCTCCTGAAATACAACTCATTCAACAAACTGTTAAATCAACTTCATATAAATATTAATTAATCAACTCTACTCTTCAATTAGAAACACTAACTTAGATAACTTAATCTTTTATACTAATGGTTCTATTAAAGACTGTCAAACACCAAATATTAAATCAGTCATAGACTAAATTTGCAAAAAAAACACTAATATAAATTTTAATGCAAGTACAAAATCATATGCTAATACCAATCACACTAAACTTGAAGCAGTTTTATTATTTCTTTTAGTTATATCATCAAATATTATTATTACAATCCATCTTGACAACCAAATAGTAATCAAAAACTTGCAACATATTTCTCTTTTAAAACAATTATATATTAAAAATTGGAATATTATTTCTTTTATCAATCATCTCAAAACTCTTAAAAATCTTAAAGTACAATTTTTAAAAATTAAATCACATACAAATTCATTTCATAACCAAGCAGACTTCTTAGCCAAATGAGGAACTTCCAAACCTATTTTGAAACTATTACTGCCAAGTACTCCAATTTACTTTCTATGAAATAATCATCTTATACTATTCAAAATTCATAACTTATCAAAAATATTATTACAATTCAAGAACTTTCTTCTTGGTCTATACTTAAAACTTCCAAAATACCTAAGAACCTAACTGGGCTTTCAACTTTTAAATAATCAAATCTATAGAACATGACACTCAAAAATACTTCTTTTATATCAAAATTCTTACAATTACCTGTCCACTATAAAAAATCTTAACATATGCTATCCTTATCTCTATACAACATCAACATGCTCCTAATGTATAAACCTTGAAGAACACTTTATTTTTTCCTCTGCGCAGACAATAATATTAATATAAACCAAGCAATTCTCAATATAATCTAATTAATACTTATCTTACTTCAAATATCTAATAGTTTAGCATCCTTCATTTTTAATATTATTTCAAACTTTATAGTCAACTGTACTAATTCTAATTACCAATCTATCTTATATGCCATATCTGACACTTTCTCTATAACAATCTACAATAATATCAAAGTTCTTTTAAACAAACAAACAAATATCTTTTTGACTAACCTAGCCAACAATCTTTTTATTTGGTACTATCAAGACCTATAGTTCATATGCAACATTTCTCAACATTAATAGGAACTTGCTAAAAATATAATTACTAAAATTAACTGTACAAAATTTACTTCCCAACAATATCTATCTTTACTAACAACCTTCTAAGAACTATACAAACTTTTAATACTATACTAATTAACAAATAGTTCTTACAAGGTTTTATTCTAATTACATGCTTTATATAATATCTTGACTCTTATCTAAGGTTTCCTCCAAACTATTCTAGCTAGAAAATAATTTGAACCAATTATCTATAGCACTTATTAAAAAATAGAAGGTGTAATATTACATTGGATATTTATTTTTTTAGCAACACAAATGTAGTTTAGAAATCTTTATTTTAGAAATTTTCTTCTATAATTAAATTTCTTATTGTACTTTAAAGTTTCTACTATGATATTATATAAAATAAAAAAATTAAAAAAAATAAAAAAAATAAATAAAAGCTGATTTTAATATTCTAATTCATATTAGTATTTGTTTTTATTATCATTAATTTTATAAGTTAATTTGTGTTCCAACTTCAGCCTTTAAAATAGCATTAAAACTTTCAATATATTAGTTACTGTTCATACTAGCATAAAATGTAATTTGTTACTCATTTTTAAGTATTTTTGTCTACAATATAAAATACACAATATGGGCTTTTCTGCTGCTCACATGGCTAATATCAACCTTTTTATAGAATCACATTAATTTTTTTTGCTAATTACTTATATTGATTTTTCTTTATTAATAGTTAATCTGTCCACTTAATATTTGACTTGTTTAGTTAGGCTATCAAATTTATAAATAATATTTAACCTGCTTGGTCAAGCTATTATAACTCATTATGACTACTAAATCTCTAGTAACAGGTGAGTAGGAAGTTACTATAAAGTTAAACTTTTATTGTGCTAGCTTCAAAGACAAAAAAAAAGAGTCTAATATATATTACTACCTACTCTAAATAACTATTATTGCCTGACATAATACTTACATACACATATATTTCTCCTATTACTTCATATTTATGTCAATATTACTTTACTAATTCTTTTTTTACATACTTATCATAACTGGCAATTGTTGATTGTATCATGTGTAATTTGTGATATTATGACAAATGGATGCCTCATAACTTTGTTTTTAGCATTTCATTTGTTGCTCAATTCTAAGTATCTTAGTATACAATATAAAATACACAATATGGAATTATCAAAAGAATCAATTTATTTATTTACTTTTTTTCTTTACTACAGTACACAGAGTATATAACTCATAGTTAGTCAATTATATAGATTTTTAAAATTCTATTTTAGATAATGTCATATTATTTGTTGTTTTAAATGCTCTTAAATATAGCATAACAGCTCTAACAGCTCTAGAATTTCATTTACCAATGGTTCTTATTTGCATCAAAAACAGTTCTCCTTTTATTGCAGCTGTTGCTTCTCTCAATCACAGACTATAGGCTGTAAAGCACCTCTTTATTCTAGCATTTTCTACTATATGCTTTATAACTACAGAAATTGTTGCTACAGATATCTCATCTTTTCTGTTTGATAAGAACAGAGGCTTATTATTCAAAGTTTTTGGTCTTACTCTTAAGTACTTTTCTAACAACCTTACTGGACAGATTTTACTATTTGTTGTCTCTATTGGTATAAACTTTTATTTGCAAAAAGATTATTTGTTGACTTCCTTACTTTAATCCAAATTATATCTAATTCTTTTTTAACATCTATTAGTTGCAATTTACACAACTCTCCCAGCCTATACATTGTACAAAAACCTAATGCCACTATAGCTAAATCTCTACACCACATCACTGAATCTATATTTTCTAGTAGATTATTATAATATCATCTCAAAGCCTCAAGTGGAAAAGAATTCTAAAACCAGCTTACATTATAGTCTTGTGCTCTTATTATTTTAATTCCTCTTGCCACTTCTTTTACTTAAAGCTTTCTACTAAATTTTGAATACCTCTCTTTTTATATATTCTTATTATAGCTCCAAGACAATCCTAAACAAGTGCCAACTTATCCACCATTTCCAACTATTCTAAAAAGACTTTAACTATGTCTGTGCTAGCTAAACAAGCTAATTCTCCTATTCGGCTACAAAATCTCTCAAAAATATATTCTGCTTTAAGCAATTTAAGTTTATAATTTTTATTTATTGCCAAATCAGCCAACTTATTAGCCTGTTTAACTAACATATTTATCATTTTATTTTGGCTGCTAGCAATTTCCAAACTGGGTTTCTGCATAGTTTTTTTGATCTGATGGTCCTAGCAGAATTATTTTTTCTGCTAGTAGTAGTTTTACAACCTTCTTTGGTGTCTCAAGAAACATGGGCCACCAAGAAGCTAATATCTATGCTAGGCAAATTAATAAAACCTGGGCTTTGCACTCACAACTGTGTGTAAGCACTTGATATATTAAGCCAAAAGGTGGGCATGCTAATTCACTTCTGTTTCCCATCTTTGTGTAAAACAATAAACTGGCTTAGAATCAGAACAAAAATAGTAACTGTTAAAATGTTTCTTTTTGGTATTTAAGTGACTTGCAAATCAGTTTATTGTTACTGGTCTCCTTTTTGCTTCTAATTTCATAAAACTTAATTGTTTAATTGCTAATTACTTGTGTTCTATATTCAAAAAAATAGTCTGCAGAGTTTATTTTGCTTGGTATCTAACTTACTTTGTAGATTCATATATCATTTTTTGTACAAAATTTCCAAAGGAATCTCACTATATCTTTTTGTTATAGGCAACTCTCTTTATATGTTATTGTTTTTACAACAAGCTTGTTGTTTATGAACAAAGTAATTCAAAAATGTTATAAATATGTTTTCAAGAATTTTAGCATTTTCAATGCTAAAAGACTTTCAAACTATGCTATTTCTGTAAATTTGAAAGGTTTTGGCCAGTTCTTTGCTACTTTGAAGTCTAAATATATTCTGCTTAAACCTATTACTAAAGTATTTACAAAAACTGATTTTATCTAAACTGATTTTCAAGCCAGTTTTCTATTTCACTTTATCAAATTTTTTTTCAACTACATTTTATCTTTCTTTGCTTTTGTTGTCAACTATACATTCTTATTCCATTTCTAATGTCTTTAATTGGTTGCATCTATAATTGCATATATCTCTAAACATTTTACTTAAGCAAGTAAGAAGACTCATGCAAAATTCTGAATCTTTCTTGCTATCAATGCTAACCTTCTTACTAATAGATCTAAAGTTTTTTTAACTCCTCTAATTCTTTCTAAACCTTCTAAATCTTTTTCTCTGATACTTCTATAACACTTTTCTCTATATCTACTATTAAACTATAAATTCTTATTCTTTGGGCTAAGTTCTAATTTCTTTTGTTTAGAGCTCTAACAAACTCAAACTGTTCCAAGTCTATTGTTACTATAAAGTTTTTTATATGCAATAGAACTTTCTTAGATAGGCTTGCTAGCTATATGTTATTTATATAGCTTTTGCAATACACTTCTTAAGATCTTTAAGAGCCTATTAATGCTCTTATAATTTCTAAAAAGATCTACAAAAACTGGAACAAACCAAATAGAAAAACTGTATAATAAAACCATATTTTGACTACTTGGAACCCCAAAAAAACATTGAGCCCACTCATTCATTAAAACATGATAATAGCCATTCTTTAAATCAAAAACAATTACCTATTAGTATCTTCTAATTGTTCTTAATAATCCTTCTAAACCTTTGAACTAAAAGGTCTTCTTTAACAGCACTTGGTCTAATCTTCTCAAATCTATAACCATATGATATTTTTTTGAACCTGGCTTTGAAACAAGAAATACTGAACACACCTTTAGCAAAAAATCTGGCCTCTCTTTTCTTATCAATATTAACCTTATTGCCTCTGTTGTTTTTAAGCTGCCTAACTCCTGCTCTATCTATTTCAATTTCTTTTTTAAAAACTTGAACTGAACTAGTATCTTCTTTTGTGCTAATAATTTTACTTCTCTTGAAAAAAGAAAATTTTGTTCTTTAACCAAAATAGCACCAAAGCTGCTTGCTTTATTACCTCTCTCAAATAAGCTACTGAAAAGTCCAAGTGAATTCTTCCTACTACTAATTGTTGTTCCATATTGCTGTTCAGCCAAGTGTGGTCAACTTTTTTTATTTTGAGAACCTAACTTCTGAAAGGACTGGCCTGATTTTTTTGAGAACAGTTCCAGGCTATATGTCACCTCTTTTTACAGATAAAACATATCATATTTGCTCTATTTTGCTTTAGGAACTTATCTGGAATATACTATATAAGGTTATCTGAAAAAGAACTTGACTGGCTCCAAGAATTCCCCTAGTCATTATATGGATATTAATAGAAACTCTGTGCAGAAGTCATATTATTATACAATGGCCCTTTATCTGGACCTAAACCAAATTAGAAGGGTTGTTGAAATTGTTAAAAAGGTTGTTAGACTTATAATAAAGTCTGGTTCAAAACTGGGGTTTCAAAACCTATTAGCATTAATGTTATGATAAGTCCTGAAAATAAAGTTTTACTTTTCTATCTTGGTCACTTATTTTTAACTAATTGCCTAGCATTGGCCAATTTCTTATGAAAATAAGCTTTCATAGGATTACTATTCACTGGATTCTTAATATTTGCAGCAACATTATATCTCTTCTTATTGGCTACTCTTAGTATAAAGGCCTTGGTAGCTGCCACATCTCATGCCTTAACCACAAAATTCCACTTCTTACTTATTAAAGAATTATTTAAATACCTTTTAAACTTGCACTACTCATTATATTTAAATTGGTTCCTTGGCTTATTCAGTTTTTCCTTAGGCCAATATCTATTATCCTTAACTAAATACACTGATTGTATACACTTTTTAAAATCTTCTAACACCTTTTCTAAAGTTGCCTGCACAGTTTTTTCTAATAACTTCTCCAAGACAATATATTATAAATCAGACAGTGAGTCATTTTGAACTTTAGCATTAGTCTCATTTTCTGTTCTTTTTAAACTGTATCACAGACTATATTATCTGACTCTAAATTTATTCTTTTATTCCAAAAATTCCTATCCTGACTAAAGCCTTTTACTCTTTTTTTACCTTTTGCTTTACTAACTACTCTTTCTACTAACCTTTCAACTAACTTCTACCTTTGATAAGCTTTTGGCCTAACATAATACTATTAAAGTTTTTGTCATAATATACTCTAAACTATTTTTTAACTCTTGTCTTGATGTTAACTCTACCTTTAAACATATCTCTTGTAACTTACTTTTTATAATCTAATTTACTTGTTAACTATATGTAAGTTACTACAAAGCTAGACTTTCATCAAGCTAGCAGCAAAGACAAAAGAAGAGGGTCTAATACATATTACTACCTATTCTAAATAACTATTATTGCCTAACATAATACTTACATACATATGCATTTCTCTTATTACTTCATATTTATGTCAATATTACTTTACTAATTCTTCTTTCACATACTTATTATAACTGGCAATTGTCAATTGTATCATGTATGATCTGTGATATTATGATAAATGAATGCCTCATGACTTTGTTTATGACATATCAAGTATGTATAAACCAAAGCCTATACATGTTGGAATTTATATAATTGATTCAAGTACTACTTATATTTAGAAAAATTATTTAATAATTGTTACTATTGTAATTTCAAAATCAGCAAGTTTGTTACTACTCTAATTTAATTCTTATGTAACCTATGGCAGCTAAGTTGAAATAGATATACTAGATTTAGCTAGTAGTTTATCTGTAGATAAGTACTAGTTAATCTAGTCTTCTATTAACCTTTGTCTTTTCTTGTCTTCTCATGTCTTCTCTTGTATGCCTTAATCTGAAATTACTTTTCATTAGATTAGTGTTAGAACCTTTTATAACATTAATGGTTTTCTTGATCATATGAGTTATATTAAATGATCAATAGTAGGTTTAGTAGTGTCTTGATAAATGATAGAGTTAACAATGAGGTTAATGATAATTTATTAGTTTGTATAGTATAATACTTTTACTTTTAAAGATCAGTATTTAGTGGTATTAAAGACTTGTTTTTAAAAAAAGATAATTGTTAGAAAGTTAGGATCTATTTTTTTAAAAGTAAAAATGTCCTTTATTATAATAAATATTTTATTTATATTAGTAATTAATTTCTAACATAAATGTAATATATTCCTTATATTATATATCTTAACTAAATATAATAAAGAGCTAATATTTCATTTAATTTATATGTAGGTAAAGTAGCAGAAATAACATAAGTAACATAAATGAGATTTTATAATTCTGTATTATCTTAAATTAGATCAGAATTGTCACTATAATATGAATATCTGTGACTCCAAAAATTAGGCTCACACTATTTATTTTTAAAAAGTTTTACATATTTACTATTATATATATAATAAAATTATTTCAAAAATTTTTTGTATTGATTATATATAAGTTTTTTGCAAAATGTTTATAAATGTTTTGTTTAATATAAAATAAACAATGTTTATATTTAATATAAAAAAACATGCTATAAATTGCAACTGCCATTCCAGAATCACTATTTGTAAAGAATATTTGTAGAATAATATTATTGTTTAAAGTTTTTAAATATTGTGAGATCTATTTAAAAATAGCTTATATTTTATCTTGAACTAGTACTTATGTAAGCAATTTTGTTCTATTGTATAAATTAATACTCACAAAAATATTTAGCAACTTATAATAAAATTGGTTTTACAAGTATTATTATTCATAATTATATTATTATACTGTTTATAAAGCTAAGATTAATTAGAATTCTGCCAAAACAACTAAGTTAAAAAAGTGTTAACATCCTTAAAATATATATTAATTTTCAATTCAGATCTTTATAATGGTTTAAAATTAAATATTCAAGCATTATAGCAGCATCTTTATTTATATTAGTGGTAATAGAATTTTTATATTATCATATTGCATTATAAAGTTTCTTGGAATAGATGTTAATTGCAAAAAACTTATTAACAAAATAGCATTTTTACTGTTAAGTATTATATTCATATTTTTATATGATAAACTTTATTTTATCTAGAATTTCTTGTAACAATTATTGTAACAGATAAAACAAACTCTTTATGATATAGTATAAAGCTATAATTATACATTTTAACAAGTTTATTAATATAAATTTTTTTTTAGTTTTTTTATAGCTAGCATTACATTGCCATTCACATTAAATTTTTTTTGAGTTAATTTTTTATGTAGCATTAGACTTTAATTTTAGATTTTCAGAATGTCATATTTAAAACATTAATAAATAACATTGCTATTTTTATTATTTATATATTGCTGATGTTTTATTAGTTTGAATTCATTTTCTTTATTATAATGTTCAAGACTTTTCTTAAAAGAAGTTTAAAAAAAAATCTAGTATCAGAAGTAATTAGTCTAATAACAATACCAGGATTTTTAAAATTAGCTATGTCTTCAAAATTATTGTTGTTTTTAGGATTATCTTTAGAGTTATTGATGTCTTTAGAATAGTTGATATCTTTAAAATCATTGATGTTTCAGAAATTGTTAGTGTTTTTAGAATAGTATATGTCTTTAGGATTGTTGATGTTTTTAGAATTATTGATGCCTTCAAAGTTGTTGGTATTTCTAGAATTATTAGTATCTTCAGAAACAGTAATGTTTTAAATTGTGATTTCAATAAAGATAATGTTAAGTTGCCAAGAGGTTTACTAAATATATTATAAGCAATTTATTTATTTAAATTAAAGAATCAATAGTTGTAAATTGGTAATTTAATTGCATCCTTAACAACAATTTAAATTTTTTAATCATTATAAGTATAAATTGCTTTTTAATAATAATTTACTATACAAAACAGATCAAAAAAATTTATTATTATTGAATATGACTTCAGTTTGAGAATTTAACTTGAAAATTGTTAAAAGAAAAAAAAAGCTAAAAGATACTTCTAAAATAGGTTACTTTTAAGTTTTATTACAATTTGTATCCTTTTTTTTAATCCAATTTCAAGTCTAAATACTTATTTATATTAATTATATATTGCATTATAACAATTACTATCAAAAAAGCTTACTTAATTATTTGAATTACATAAGTTCTATAAACTATTATCACTTGAATTCCAACAAGTGCTGTAAGTATATAAAAGAGAAATAAAATAAAGTTTTTATTTTTTGTCATCAATGCTTTAAATTGTAATTAATGTTACAAATACATTAAACTAGTAAGAGATTATATCCATTACAATTAAATTTAACATAAATATTTAATTTGTAATTTATTACAGACAAGATGGATACACTTTGGCTCAGGCACTGTCTCTACTATAAATCAAGGTAGTATTCTTATTTATTATAGTTAAGAAAGACAAAACTGCAATACATATTAAAAGGTTTTTAATTATATATTGATGCACAATGTTATCTGATTGGTTAGTGTGAAGGTTTATCACATGATTGGTAATATCACTACTGGTAAAAATAAATAATATTCTATTAATATATTTAACTTAATAATTTATTATATTGAAGATATTCTTTTATTTAATAAAAGATATTGTTAAGTTATTTATAGATACTTGAATTTTTGTTAGATTATTTTTATTAAAAATTATTGCTTACTTTAAAGATATTATAGTATCCGGTTCATCTACTATCTCTAATCGTGCAAATTACCTATTTTCCCTTTCACAACATGTAAATTTTTATGCTACGCACATTATCATGGCTAAGGTTTTGTGCTTGTGTCTATGCCTGTAATATGCAGCCTAAAATGTACATAAGGAAATCAAAAATTAGAAACAGATTTCCTTTTTAGTGATCTGCAAAATCAATATTCTAAATCGGTTAAAAGTGTGACCTATTACTATACAGTCATGTAAAATTATAATTTTACTGACCGAATATGTGATTGATAGTATATTTAGAACCTCCAAATTCCCTGTACTGTAATCGTTATCACGAAAATAGTAGGGTCACATCTTTTTGCAAATCATATACTGATTGAATACCTCTGAGATCCCACTATTAGTAATATGAAAATTGTGAGGGTCATGCTTTCATCGATTACGGCTTTTAATGTATACCAAT